AGCAGACATTGATCTGGGATGCCGCCTTGCAGGCTTGTCTGCTCTACAGTGGAGGTCGCGGACTCCTGCGAGCCCGACACTTTCACACCAAAGTTGCCTTGAGAATTTGGTCTATGGGGAACAATAAGGGCCCGGCTTCGAGGCCTGCTTTAGCGCCCTATGGGAAGGGTTGGGAGCAGTGTCGGGTCAGGTGTGAGAGGTCATGTTAAGCCAGGTGTGTGGGATGAAGCACCGGACAGAACGTGGGTCTGCAAGCGGATTAGGGTCAGGATGGACACCGATGGCGGCGTCAGGGGCCAGAACCGTTTCATTAACGTTGAAACCAATGACAAAGTTAGCGTGGTTGTTGACGACGGCAGGGGGGGGGGGTGGTAGTGGTAGTGAGGACGGCAGGGTGGTGGTGGTAGTGGTGGTAGCAGCGACGACGGCAGGGTGGTGGTGGTGGCGGCGCGGCATGAAGGGCGTGGCAGCGTGGGTTGTGGCTATGTTTACCAGGATGGAGGATGATGTGGGTGATGATGTTACCCCGCTCCCCCTGTGGCTCACGTTACTCCCACGGACCAGGGCATCACGCCCTCCATGCGGGGGTCATGGACGCCCATTATATCAGCGGTGTCGCCTCAGTTGAGCCTGTCAACAAGACGGGCGTCACAATATATTACCAAGACCACAACAATAGGGCAAATGACGTTCAGTGGATACTCACTGGTCTACACGGATGTCTATGTCAATTTACACCTTTTTTTAACAGGAGTCACACTAATAAATGACTTCCTACCATTATTCAGTATAAGTGTAGACGACTACCTTGTGTACACCGCTTGTACTGTTCTTGTACAGAGGTTCAAGAGGGTGTTAGTCACTGTAAGCAACTGTACAGTGACTGTTGTCTGTTCATGGATATTGACGCCATCAGAGACTCGCTGTGGTACCTGAGTGGTGTACTTGACAGGCCTCTACTCTGGCCTCCACAGCATCAGACAAGGAAGTACCAACACAGACTCTGTGTGGGTACTGGACTCATATTACACTCGATTACTGCCTTTAAGATGGTGATGGCGAAGAGTGAGAGAGAGAAAGAGAGAGAGAGAGAGAGAGAGAGAGAGAGAGAGAGAGAGAGAGAGAGAGAGAGAGAGAGAGAGAGAGAGAGAGAGAGAGAGAGAGAGAGAGAGAGAGAGAGAGAGAGATAGAGATAGAGAGAGAAGGAGTAAGAGCTAAAGAGTGTCGTAGAAAGACTTGGTGTTACGTGTGTAGAGTTGATAGTTCCTCAGGCAGTTGCTCACCGTAGCCTCTGGTAAGATAACAAGACCCATAACCTGGGTTATGGTTATATATGCTCACTGAGGCAGGCAGTGTGGGTGGAGGGTCTGGCGGCCGAGTCATCCTTGTCTGCACCACATAGTCACCACTAAGCTGTATCTAACGTAACAGTGGGAGTAATATTTGTTCCAGTCACCACCCAGAAGTTTGGTGTAGCTTTGTTTTGTCTCTTGTCTGTACTCAAGAGAAATGTATTTTACAATTTCATATCAGATCGTAAATCTGCCGGCCGCTTTCTCTTACAATATCCACTTGAAGTTCTTGAGGATACTCTCTTACGATGACCGGAACTCACACCTCGTCACTCCTCAAGTAGGAGAAGCGCTTGAGGGGAGGGGGGGAGGGGGTGATGCGGCAGAAACCACTGCAGGTTTGGAGGGGGGGGGGCAGGTTTGGAGGGGGGGGGTGTTTTAGGTCATGATGAAGAGTTTGGGACACAAGCCTCGAATATGAGTCGTAGGTAATGGGTTTGTTGTCGTGAGTCAAGGGTTTGTTGTCGTGAGTCAAGGGTCTGTTGTCGTGAGTCAAGGGTCTGTTGTCGTGAGTCAAGGGTCTGTTGTTGTGAGTCAAGGGTCTATTGTTGTGAGTCAAGGGTTTGTTGTTGTGAGTTAAGGGTCTGTTGTCGTGAGTCAAGGATCTGTTGTCGTGAGTCAAGGGTCTGTTGTCGTGAGTCAAGGGTCTGTTGTCGTGAGTCAAGGGTCTGTTGTCGTGAGTCAAGGGTCTGTTGTCGTGAGTCAAGGGTCTGTTGTCGTGAGTCAAGGGTCTGTTGTCGTGAGTCAAGGGTCTGTTGTCGTGAGTCAAGGGTCTGTTGTCGTGAGTCAAGGGTCTGTTGTTGTGAGTCAAGGGTCTGTTGTTGTGAGTCTAGGATCTGTTGTCGTGAGTCAAGGGTCTGTTGTCGTGAGTCTAGGATCTGTTGTCGTGAGTCAAGGGTCTGTTGTCGTGAGTCAAGGGTCTGTTGTCGTGAGTCAAGGGTCTGTTGTCGTGAGTCTAGGATCTGTTGTCGTGAGTCAAGGGTCTGTTGTCGTGAGTCAAGGGTCTGTTGTCGTGAGTCTAGGATCTGTTGTCGTGAGTCAAGGGTCTGTTGTTGTGAGTCAAGGGTCTGTTGTCGTGAGTCAAGGGTCTGTTGTTGTGAGTCAAGGGTCTGTTGTCGTGAGTCAAGGGTCTGTTGTTGTGAGTCAAGGGTCTGTTGTTGTGAGTCAAGGGTCTGTTGTCGTGAGTCAAGGGTCTGTTGTTGTGAGTCAAGGGTCTGTTGTCGTGAGTTAAGGGTTTGTTGTCGTGAGTCAAGGGTGTGTTGTCGTGAGTCAAGGGTCTGTTGTTGTGAGTCAAGGGTCTGTTGTCGTGAGTTAAGGGTTTGTTGTCGTGAGTCAAGGGTGTGTTGTCGTCAGTCAAGGGTGTGTTGTCGTCAGTCAAGGGTCTGTTGTCGTGAGTCAAGGGTGTGTTGTCGTCAGTCAAGGGTTTGTTGTCGTGAGTCAAGGGTGTGTTGTCGTCAGTCAAGGGTTTGTTGTCGTCAGTCAAGGGTCTGTTGTCGTGAGTCAAGGGTTTGTTGTCGTGAGTTAAGGGTCTGTTGTTAGAACAATTTATCAATGAAATCGAACAAATTTAAATGGAATCGTAACATATTTAGTATACCGTTTGTTGCTCTTACGTGCAACAGATGGCGCTGTTTCTTGAAAAAAATAATGTTTTTACCTGTCACAGGTGTGGCATCTATACTTATACTTACAACATGAACGGTATGGTAAACAACACAGCTCAATTCCAATGCAATGTCACACAAAATAATTAAATCAAACTGAAAAAAATCGAAATCTATGAAAATTCAATTTATCAATGCAATCGGAAACACTGAAATGGAATCGTAACATGTTAAGTATTGTGCGTGTGTTGCTCTTATGTCCAACAGACGGCGTGGTTTTTCAAAAAAACATGTTTTTTCCTGTCACAGGTGAGGCATGTATATAGTAGGTATATAAAAGCACGCTCCTATTCGAATGCAACGATGGGTCAAAATTTTAAAGCAATCGGTAAAGTGGTTTTGAAGATTTCCCTCGCATGAAAAACAAATGAAAACATTAAAAAAAAGCATGTTTTTCACCGTCACCGACGTGACATTTATATAGTATGTATATACAAATCTGTTCGGATGTGAATGGAACGTTGTGTGAAAATTTCAAAGCAATCGGTGAAGAACTTTCGGAGATTAGCGATTTTGAACAAACGAACATTTACATCTTTATTTATATAGAAAATAATTTCTCGTTTGCTCCGAGAAAGGGGCGGGGCTTTTAATATAGTGGAGGCTCGGTTTTAATTTACGTGTTATCGCGACTTATGGCCATAATATGACGAATATAATATTTCTCAAGTCCCCAATATTAGTGCATAATTTCTTACCCATCTCTTCTTTCCTCTTTCACCTCACAAAAATACAAATAAAATTATAGTTTCTCCATTGGGCCTGAGAACGCCTTAGATGCTGTGGGAGTTTCCTCTGGTTTATACTATTACAGGCAAAGTCTAGTGATTAGAAAATTGATCTTTATCTTCCCGAGATCAATTCATAAATTTTCAGATTACAGTAAGAAAAATATTATTTTACATTTGTTTAGTTATTTAGGTGTTATCTTAAGATTCTTGAGGTTATCTTGAGATGATTTCGGGGCTTTTAGTGTCCCGCGGCCCGGTCCTCGACCAGGCCTCCACCCCCAGGAAGCAGCCTGTGACAGCTGACTAACATCCAGGTACCTATTTTACTGCTAGGTAACACTGCTAGGTGTTACTGCTAGGTACTGCTAGGTGTCAGGCAATGCTAAACTCAAATCGTGGGGGGGGGGATTTGACCCCGGCACGCTGTTCCCTCTTGAATTCTGACCTCGATCAGCTTATGTCCGTCCCATACCCCAGGCCATTCATCCTTCAGAGTTGGGTGAGGCTAGCCCCAAGCACGTAGCCTCCAACCTTGGACAAATAGACTGCCGAACAAACATAAACTCTCTCTTATAGATATAGATAGATATATAAATATAAATGTGTGAAAGTCGTGTCTTTGCACCGTAAATGAGTCAGTATAATAAGCATGTTGTGCGCTTCTGGGATCCGCTTAGGGTTGTGAACTTAAGAAAACGTGACTTAATCTCTGGTGTAAGATGTGAGAATAGCGCGCATCACTTCCTGCGCCGGTAGTGTCCTTGTAGCGGGGCTCTGCCAGGGATGTGCGGGCGTGTCTCCTCTACTGCTCAACCTGCGCTAGTCTTCTTTATCACCTAGAATTGACATGCATAAGTAATTATTTAGTTTTATGACGGCTAAAATAACTTTCCTCGCCATAATGACGATATTTAATAGACACATTGTTTCACGAAGCTGTCAAGAGATTTGTCTTAGTTCACGCTTCTGTAGGGCGGGACTTGGTGTTGTCAACTTCAACTTCACTCTACTGTAGGGTGGAGTTGGTACAACTGGCAAGGCACTCACTGTGAAACGAGATGGATGTGTGTGTGTGTGTGTGTGTGTGTGTGTGTGTGTGTGTGTGTGTGTGTGTGTGTGTGTGTGTGTGTGTGTGTGTGTGTGTGTGTGTGTGTGTGTGTGTGTGTGTGTGTGAAGAGGAGAGAGAGAGAGAGAGAGAGCGTGCACGAGACTGTACAGGAGAGTATGACAGGTGGCCTCTCCACAGAGCCGCCATGGATCTTGGCCCCGCCAACGGTGCCGCCACCAAGCCAAGCGACTCGCCTCCGCCAGCGCAGGTGAGTTTACCTTTACTGTAGTGAAGACCTGCCCCTCACGCTCTCTTGACATTTATTGATACAAACATTTGTACTTAAACCTAATATGACATATTGTTAGTTGATGGTTATATGAACAGGTGATGATGGCGGGCAAGCAGCCGGAGGTGAAGCAGGAGGCGCTAGGGAGCATAAAGGCGCCGCAGCCCGCCGCTCTAGACACCATTCCCGCCAAAACAGAGAGTGAGGCTGGCCCGGGTGCTGCCAAGAGCCCCGCGCTACAAGAACACGACGATAACGACGACGTAGTGGTGCAGTCGACGACCCCGAGTGCCACTCTCAATGGCACCATCAACGGGGACACCTCGGCGACCACCAGAGAGTCCCCGCAGAAGGACGCACCTGTGGGGACACTAAAGGATAAGGACAAAACCGATAAACCCGACGAAAAGGTAGACACTAGCAGTAAAAAAGAGGAACCATCCCCGAGGGACGCCCAGAAACCCGAGGAGCAAGCTGCTGCCAAACCAGGGACACAGGACACCCAACCCGCCGTCTCAATCAACATTGATGACCGGGAAACTAATGGCGCCCATTACCCCGGCGAGGACGACAGAGGAAGTGACCGAAGTGGCGACGTGGCGTCCGTAGACGGCTCCACTGATGACAGAGGCGCGACGCCATTACAGGACGGCACGGAACAAGGCATCCCGAGGGAAGACTCGGCACAATCAAGAGAGTCGCCGGCAGGAGTAGAGGCGCACGGGCCAGGTAATGGGAAGGGCGCGGCAGGTAGTGGAGGTGGTGATGGGGCAGGGAAGGGGGAGAGAGCTGAGGGTGAGGGAGAGGCACACAAGGACCGCCACGAGCAAGCGGTCAAGACCGCACATCAAGGCGCTAAGGAAAAGGCGGATCGTGAAGAAAAGGAAAAGGACGATGGTAAGGATGAAGAAACGCCTCGAGACAAAGCAGGTAAAGAAGACAAAGCAGGTAAAGAAGACAAAGGAGAGAAGGAAGATAAAGCGGTTAAAGAAGCCCAAATCGACAAAGAAGTCAAAGTGTGTATGCCAGAGAGCAGTGTGGGAAAGGCAGAAGCCGCCGAAGACAAGAGTGAAGCAGCAGTGTGTCCTGCTGGTGACAAGGACGCCAAGGACAAGGACGCCAAGGACAAGGACGCCAAGGACAAGGACGCCAAGGACAAGGACGAAATGGAGGAAAAGGGAAAAGAGGACGAGAAGGAGAAGGAGAGTAGTAAGGTTGGAGAAAAGGAGGAAGACACTAGTAAAGCCAAAGACAAGAGTAAAGTAGAAGGCAGGACTAAGGGAGAAGGTAGTAAAGAGGTTGGCACTAAAGCTGCTGCAGATGTTTCTAAAGAGGAAGATAAGACCAAAGAGGAAGCCACGGGTAAAGAAGACATAACAGAAGTTGAAGAGGGAAAAGAGGCAGAAGAAAAGAGCATCACTGAAGATAAAGAGAAAGCGACACAAGAGACAACAGCGGAGGCCACATGTAAAGAAGACAAAGTCAAGGAACAAAAGAGTAAAGTTGACGACATTGCCAAAGAGGAAAAGAGTGAAGAGGTCAAAGCAGACGACAAAGTCAAAGCAGACGACAAAGTCAAAGCAGACGATGAAGTCAAAGCTGACGATAAAATCAAAGCAGACGAGGTTACAACAGACGAGAAGGTCAAAGCAGACGAGGTCAAAGCAGACGATAAGGTTAAAGCAGACGATAAGGTTACAGCAGACGAAAAGGTCAAAGCAGAAGATAAGGTTACAGTAGATGAGGTCAAAGAAAATAAGGTTACGACAGACAAGGTCAAAGAAGACGATAAAGTAACAGCAGACGAAAAGGTCAAAGGAGACGAAAAGGTCAAAGCAGACGATAAGGTTACAGCAGACGAAAAGGTCAAAGCAGACGAAAAGGTTACAGCAGACGAAAAGGTCAAAGCAGACGAAAAGGTCAAAGCAGAAGATAAGGTTACAGCAGACGAAAAGGTCAAAACAGACGAAAAGGTCAAAGCAGACGATAAGGTTACAGCAGACGAAAAGGTCAAAGCAGACGAAAAGGTCAAAGCAGACGATAAGGTTTCAGCAGACGAAAAGGTCAAAGCAGACGAAAAGGTCAAAGCAGACGATAAGGTTACAGCAGACGAAAAGGTCAAAGCAGACGAAAAGGTCAAAGCAGACGATAAGGTTACAGCAGACGAAAACGTCAAAGCAGACGAAAAGGTCAAAGCAGACGATAAGGTTACAGCAGACGAAAAGGTCAAGGCAGACGAAAAGGTCAAAGCAGACGATAAGGTCACAGCAGACGAAAAGGTCAAAGCAGACGAAAAGGTCAAAGCAGACGATAAGGTTACAGCAGACGAAAAGGTCAAAGCAGAAGATAAGGTTACAGCAGACGAAAAGGTCAAAGCAGACGAAAAGGTCAAAGCAGACGAAAAGGTCAAAGCAGACGATAAGGTTACAGCAGACGAAAAGGTCAAAGCAGACGATAAAGTTACAGCAGACGAAAAGGTCAAAGCAGAAGATAAGGTTACAGCAGACGAAAAGGTCAAAGCAGAAGATAAGGTTACAGCAGACGAAAAGGTCAAAGCAGACGATAAGGTTACAGCAGACGAAAAGGTCAAAGCAGACGATAAGGTTACAGCAGACGAAAAGGTTACAGCAGACGAAAAGGTCAAAGCAGAAGATAAGGTTACAGCAGACGATAAGGTTACAGCAGACGAAAAGGTCAAAGCAGAAGATAAGGTTACAACAGACGAAAAGGACAAAGCAGAAGACAAGGTTACAGCAGACGAAAAGGTCAAAGCAGACGAAAAGATCAAGACAGAAGATAAGGTTACAGCAGACGATAAGGCAAAAGCAGACGATAAGGTTACGGCCGACGAGGTCAAAGCAGAAGATAAGGTTACGGCAGACGAGAAACTCAAAGCAGAAGATAAGGTTATGGCAGACGAGAAACTCAAAGCAGAAGATAAAGCTACAGCAGATAAGGTCAAAGCTGAGGATAAGGTCAAGGGAGAGAAAGAGGTAACATCTACTGAAGCAGCGCTGTCGGTAAAGGAGAGCGACTCAGAGAAGGACAGTGGGACAGACAAGGAGAGTGACAGAACGCAAGAGGAAGAGGCTGGGCAGGACACCGGTAAAGACGCTCTTCAAGAGGATGAAAAGACAGTTAAAACAGACGAAGCTAAGGGCAAGGCGGAGGCACAAGAACTCAAGGAGAAAATGTCGATAGCAGCAGAAGACAAAGATAAGGAGAGGGAGCAAACCCCAGTAAAGGAGGAAGCGGAGAAGTCAGAGGGTGAAGCAGCTAGTAAACAGAAGGTTGACGACACACTGGCGAAGGCAGGAGAACCACAGCAACCACAGGAACCACAGCAACCACACAAGGCCCAACAAGAAGCTAAGGAAAAAGTAGAAGAATTACAGGAAGTTAAAGAGGAAGCTAAAGAAGAGAAATTAGTTGAAAAAACTGAAGAACCAGTGAGTAAAGAAGCGGAAGAACCAACTAGAGAGAAAGAAGAAAGCAAAGAAGTAGTTGAGATTACAGTTAAAGCGGTAAAGGAAGAAGCAGAAGAACCGGAGAAGCATAAAGAAGAAGAAACAGCAGCGGAAGAACAAGGTGTGGAAGAACAGAGAGAAGATGCAGCTGACAGGAAGGAAGAAGAGGAGGAAGCGGCAAAACAGGACGAAGAGGAGGCAGATGTTGAAGCCGAAGTTGCTGATGAGGAAGGTAAGGCGCCCGAGCACCATGGTGGTGAAGACGAGGCACAAGAAGAGGAGTCTGCGGCACCCGCTCATGACGGAGAGAAGGAAGAGGAAGAGAAGGGGGAGACTGAAGCTAAGGAAGAGGAAGAGAAGGGGGAGACTGAAGCTAAGGAAGAGCACCAGGGCGAAGACAAGGAAACGAAGAGGATTGCGTCGTCCAAGAGACCTCGCAAATCTGCCCGACGGAAACGTGCAGGTGTGAAGAATTTGCCCCTGGCTCCTTCCTGCCAGTGCGGGTGGCACTGCTGCCCCCCTGGCCCTCACTGCCTGGCTCCTGCCTCCCCATGCAGGTGGCACTGCTGCCCCCCTGGCCCTCACTGCCTGGCTCCCGCCCTCCTCACCATCCTCCCAACTTAACCTTGTAATATCAAATTCAACTTAACGAAAGCAGGCACGCTTCCCCGTAATGTATAAACAAAAATCGTTGAAACGCAAAATATCAAATAATCCAGAGCTGGTGAGCGATGACACGAACAACCATTTTGATGAGTTTGATTCCGAAGGCGTAAGAGGCTGGGCAGGCGAGGCTGGGGAGGCAGGAGGCACGTCGGGAGGGCCAACTGGGCATGGAAGTCAGGTTAGATTGGCCAGGCCTAGCGACGCCGCCACGCCAAGCAACACCACCCTCACGCCTCACACACGCACAAACACACACGCACTCCAGCACGCACTCTCCCAAGGTCCAGGCTAAGTCAGACGGGAGGGGAGTCAGGCAGAGCCAGAAGGGAAGGGAACCAGGCCAAGCCACACGGGAGAGAAGCCAGGCCAAGCTAGACGGGAGGGGAGCCAGGCCAAGCCAGGAGAGGGACGGGACAGTCATTCATCATGGGGAATCAATTCTTTGAAGACCATGAAAGGTATGAGGCTGAAGAAATAGCATGGGAGGGTAGATAGGTAGAAAAGAGAATGGTACAAAATAGTATAAGAGAGTCAGTTTGGGTCAGATATTCAGCCAATCAGCAGTGAGTTAGGTGGTAGTCTTCCTAGTTACCTGTGAAGTAACGAAGATTGGCTAACCAGGAGCGTTCCTACACCATAGACTCTAATGGTACCACGATGGCATCATGTCAGCTAAAGAATGATGGTAGTTCGTCTCGTTTGCTCAGAATGCGTTTAGCAGTAAACTATGGTTACTGCAGGGAGGTGTGTGTTATCGCGGATACTTATATTGGAACACAGTATTTCGTTCTTATTTATTTTGGAGGTATTAGCAGTTATTATAAGATGCCCCGTGTGGAAGACTTCCTTGTGCGGTATCGTGAAACACGCATTACTAGTTTTATTGACAGTAAAATAGGAGTTACCTAGCTAAATTGTATGTTAGGTTTCGCGTCTTCTTTCTATTATCACTGACTTATTTCGAATATGCTGTCAAGTTGCATTTAAGTGATGGACGGTCTTAACCGAACTTGTAAAGTGATATCTTAGGCGTAAGACTACGAACTTATGACGGACTAGTGGGTATATTGAGGTTAGGACGGGCTTGTGGGTATATTGAGGTTAGGACGGGCCTGTGGGTATATTGAGGTTAGGACGGGCTGGTGGGTATATTGAGGTTAGGACGGGCTTGTGGGTATATTGAGGTTAGGACGGGCTTGTGGGTATATTGAGGTTAGGACGGGCTTGTGGGTATATTGAGGTTAGGACGGGCCTGTAGGTATATTGAGGTTAGGACGGGCTGGTGGGTATATTGAGGTTAGGACGGGCTTGTGGGTATATTGAGGTTAGGACGGGCTTGTGGATATATTGAGGTTAGGACGGGCTGGTGGGTATATTGAAGTTAGGACGGACCTGTGGGTATATTGAGGTTAGGACGGACCTGTGGGTATATTGAGGTTAGGACGGACCTGTGGGTATATTGAGGTTAGGACGGGCTTGTGGATATATTGAGGTTAGGACGGGCTGGTGGGTATATTGAAGTTAGGACGGGCTTGTGGATATATTGAGGTTAGGACGGGCTTGTGGGTATATTGAGGTTAGGACGGTCTAGTGGGTATATTGAGGTTAGGACGGTCTAGTGGGTATATTGAGGTTAGGACGGGCTAGTGGGTATATTGAGGTTAGGACGGTCTAGTGGGTATATTGAGGTTAGGACGGTCTAGTGGGTATATTGAGGTTAGGACGGGCTAGTGGGTATATTGAGGTTAGGACGGTCTAGTGGGTATATTGAGGTTAGGACGGGCTAGTGGGTATATTGAGGTTAGGACGGTCTAGTGGGTATATTGAGGTTAGGACGGTCTAGTGGGTATATTGAGGTTAGGACGGGCTAGTGGGTATATTGAGGTTAGGACGGTCTAGTGGGTATATTGAGGTTAGGACGGGCTAGTGGGTATATTGAGGTTAGGACGGTCTAGTGGGTATATTGAGGTTAGGACGGTCTAGTGGGTATATTGAGGTTAGGACGGTCTAGTGGGTATATTGAGGTTAGGACGGTCTAGTGGGTATATTGAGGTTAGGACGGGCTAGTGGGTATACTGGGAGGAGTGTGTGTGCGGTGGTGTATGTGTGTAGCCTGACGCTGTAGTAGTAGTGCAGTAGGCTCGTGGCATCTGCCGCTGTGTGCTGCCAGCCTCTCAGGTGTATTTCCCACTTCATCTCTGGGAAATACACCTCAAAAGGGTTATCAGACCACTATTGTCTCGTGCACTTAAATATCTTGTGTTAGTAGAATTAAACTCATCAGAAGCGAAATTTAGAACAACGAGGAAGTGCATTAAGAACATTGGCGCCAACTGAGGTTATTAAATGTTAGTGTTAGTGAGGACTCACGCCGTCCTCCCTCTCCTGTAGCAACTCTGACACAAGATATTCAAGCCTTGACTCGCACAGTGGCGACCGTCCACAGCTAGATTTCCGGCTTTTGACGTGTTGAGAAGCTTCTCCCCAGTGAGCAGGCCACACTTGGCGCCCGCTACTGTCACTGGCTGCTCCTCCCCAGTCATCAAGATATTTTATATGCACGGATTTTATCATTTTTATCTTCTAATATATTCCATCGATGTTCTTGAGTGTGTGTTTGACCAGGTCACTGACGACACTCACTCTTCTTGTACACCCGGGCAAGACCTGAGGCTCAAGCCTGCCCTTCCTTGCACTACACACCCCTCACACCTCGCCTTCCACCAGCCTTAGAAAAATTATTGGTTCAAATTATCTGTATGCCAAAAGTCACTGTTCAAAGATATTTATACTCCATTCCTATATTTGAAGACGTAATATAGGAGAAGTAGAGATTTTGTATTGATGTAAGGTGTAGGTGAGGTAGTGTAGGTGAGGAGAGACAGGGTGTTGCACCCGAGGTGTAGGCGCCACACAGCTCGCTCTGTACTGAGAAGCAGCTTCCATGGTGTCTGTCATTTCAACACAATCCCTGTGGAGGAACCCCTCTCTGTCTGAGTGTTAACATGACTGATACATGTATTGTAGAGGCCGCAGCAAACTCAGTAGAGACCGCGTCTCACATTGCCCACAGAGCATGGCAACTACACTATCCAAAGATTACACCCTGCTACCGCTAGATAGCATGTCACCAGTGCAACTTCTTTGTTAGGACGTGCACAGTTGTACACGGCAGGCATGACACCTCACTCCATGGGCGTCACTCGCTGACTCCTGCTGGAGCTTCTCCTGCGGCAGACGGTGACCAGCACAGCTTGAGGGCGGAAGAATGGTGAGGCGCCAGTCCAGCTGGATCTGCCCGGCCCTTATGACCTCACACGCTTGATGGATGACTTCTGGCAGGGTCAAGGTTGGCCCGACACCCGAGCACACCCACCACCGTGACCCTACGCCCACCCGGCCAGGCTGCGGACCATGCTGGACTCTGCATGAACCCGAGAAAAGCTTTTATTTGTATTCCCTCATATGTACCGTGTTGTACGACCATGGGGTACTAGACGCTTAGCAACCCGCAGCCACCTTTACCTAACTTTTGAAACTAATTGAATCAATATGTTAAAATTGCGTGAAATATGAAATTATGCCCTTAGCAACTCTCTCATCCTTAGCCATACACCGTGTGGTATTTTGTTATTTTTCCCATGTGAGTATGTGTTTGTATGAGCGTGTTTGTGTGTGCGTGTATGCTGCTGTGTTTTATTCATGTTATTCTCTAGTCATATTTTAATTAAGCTTATCGCCAGTTTCCTATCTTGTTGAGAGTCTCTCCCCCTTGTAGACAAGTTTATTAGTTGATCAGCCTCCTACCCCCGGGGGACCTATCCTCCACCGGCCTTCCCTACGCTCTGTTTTGCTATTTTTACCTTGGATGATGTTTACTATTAATCAGTAAGACTTATACATTAATCTAGTTTAATCATTCCCTTAAGAAGGCATGCACCAACACTGCTTATTGCATTTTAAAAATTTATCCATAGTGTTTAGACCTTGCAATGTATTATATGTAATATATTAAACAATTTGATCATATTAAATCACTTGTAATTGTATTTTGAAGATAGTTAAATTTGGAAGGATATATCCGTAGATTTGTGTGGTTATAGGAGCCTTTGACCGATGCCTTCATGGTAACATGTTACTACTTTTCAGAGGAGGGACATGACAGTGGCGTCGACGAGTCCACCCAGGCTAAGGTGAGTGACCACACTCTTCCCTAATCACGTCCCCCTTTATAGTCCTTAAATATCCCTGGAAATACGCATTTGCTTCACTTGTAAATCATAATTTGGAATCGAATATAATTGATTTAAACCCCGTCCCCCCCCCCCCCCCCACCTCGAGGTGTAGGTGTGTAGAACACTTTAGTGTTCCGTTAGCCACAGTATTTATGATCCCAGAGGTTAGTATACAGCTTAATAACGGTGACACTGGAGGCTCCACTCATGGCAACTTGATGCGGTTTACACTCATGGCAACTTGATGCGGTTTACACTCAGGGCAACTTGATGCGGTTTACACTCATGGCAACTTGATGCGGTTTACACTCAGGGCAACTTGATGCGGTTTACACTCATGGCAACTTGATGCGGTTTACACTCAGGGCAACTTGATGCGGTTTACACTCATGGCAACTTGATGCGGTTTACACTCATGGCAACTTGATGCGGTTTACACTCATGGCAACTTGATGCGGTTTACACTCATGGCAACTTGATGCGGTTTACACTCATGGCAACTTGATGCGGTTTACACAGGTTTTGGCCGCGCTGTTTACTGCTCGACAATATTGATATCTTGAGGTTATCTTGAGATGATTTCGGGGCTTTTTTTTAAGTGTCCCCGCGGCCCGGTCCTCGACCAGGCCTCCACCCCCAGGAAGCAGCCCGTGACAGCTGACTAACACCCAGGTACCTAATTTACTGCTAGGTAACAGGGGCATAGGGTGAAAGAAACTCTGCCCATTGTTTCTCGCCGGCGCCTGGGATCGAACCCAGGACCACAGGATCACAAGTCCAGCGTGCTGTCCGCTCGGCCGACCGGCTTGATGCCAATTTCTAAAGTATAGGAGTTGTTATGGCTGATTAACGTAACTTATTGGAGTATACCGTAGGTGCGTTAATGATAACAGGAGGTAGAGAGGTTGGGAGGGAGGGAGGGATGGAGGGAGAGACAGAGTGAGGGAAGGAGGGAGGGAGGGTAGCGTGTGTAGCGAGGGCAGTAATGGAGGGTGTAGTCATTGACAGAGCCGTCTCTGAGCAGTTACTCCCGTCAATACTTGTACAGCTCAGTAGTTTAACAATGTGCAGCCCTCGTATGTGTGTGTGTGGGGGGGGGGAGGGGGAGCCGTGGGTTGTTGTGGTCTGCTAATTGGGGGTCCCCCCCCCACGCCTCACAACCCCTCCAGTCCTCGTCTAGTTATACTCTCCTAGCTATACTCACCTGGTTATACTCACCTGGTTATACTCACCTAGTTATACTCACCTAGTTATACTCTCCTAGCTATACTCTCCTAGTTATACTCTCCTAGTTATACTCTCCTACTTATACTCTCCTAGTTATACTCACCTAGTTATACTCACCTGGTTATACTCACCTGGTTATACTCACCTAGTTATACTCTCCTAGTTATACTCCCCTAGTTATACTCTCCTAGTTATACTCCCCTAGTTATACTCTCCTAGTTATACTCCCCTAGTTATACTCTCCTAGTTATACTCACCTAGTTATACTCACCTTTCCTTTCCCCTTGTGTGAGTATAATGACTGCATTCCTCTGAACGTTCTTCAGCTAGGTTCGGTTTTTAACGAGATTCGGACGCCATTTTGATGCTTCATATTTGAGAGTTGGTCTGACATACGTGGTGTCCAATATCCTGAATGTCAGTTCTTATGTTGCCCAAAGTTGTATTTGAGGCTGATAATATTCGCTTGATCATGGCTTGGTGTGTGTGTGTGTGTGTGTGTGTGTGTGTGTGTGTGTGTGTGTGTGTGTGTGTGTGTGTGTGTGTGTGTGTGTGTGTGTGTGTGTGTGTGTGTGTGTGTGTGTGTGTGTGTGTGTGTGTGTGTGTGTGTGTGTGTGTGTGTGTGTGTGTGTGTGTGTGTGTGTGTGTGTGTGTGTGTGTGTGTGTGTGTGTGTGTGTGTGTGTGTGTGTGTGTGTGTGTGTGTGTGTGTGTGTGTGTGTGTGTGTGTGTGTGGTGTGTGTGTGTGTGTGTGTGTGTGTGTGTGTGTGTGTGTGTGTGTGTGTATTCCCAGCCTACCTCTGGAACCTTCCTCAGCCTGTCTCTGGAACCTTCCTCAGCCTGTCTCTGGAACCTTTCTCAGCCTGTCTCTGGAACCTTCCTCAGCCTGTCTCTGGAACCTTTCTCAGCCTGTCTCTGGAACCTTCCTCAGCCTGTCTCTGGAACCTTCCTCAGCCTGTCTCTGGAACCTTTCTCAGCCTGTCTCTGAAACCTTCCTCAGCCTGTCTCTGGAACCTTCCTCAGCCTGTCTCTGGAACCTTCCTCAGCCTGTCTCTGGAACTTTCCTCAGCATGTCTCTGGAACTTTCCTCAGCCTGTCTCTGGAACCTTCCTCAGCCTGTCTCTGAACCTTCCTCAGTCTGCCTCTGGAACCTTTCTCAGCCTGTCTCTGGAACCTTTCTCAGTCTGTCTCTGGAACCTTCCTCAGCCTGTCTCTGGAACCTTCCTCAGCCTGTCTCTGGAACCTTCCTCAGCCTGTCTCTGGAACCTTCCTCAGCCTGTCTCTGGAACTTTCCTCAGCCTGTCTCTGGAACCTTCCTCAGCCTGTCTCTGGAACCTTCCTCAGCCTGTCTCTGGAACTTTCCTCAGCATGTCTCTGGAACTTTCCTCAGCCTGTCTCTGGAACCTTCCTCAGCCTGTCTCTGAACCTTCCTCAGCCTGCCTCTGGAACCTTTCTCAGCCTGTCTCTGGAACCTTTCTCAATCTGTCTCTGGAACCTTCCTCAGCCTGTCTCTGGAACCTTCCTCAGCCTGTCTCTGGAACCTTCCTCAGCCTGTCTCTGGAACCTTCCTCAGCCTGTCTCTGGAACCTTCCTCAGCCTGTCTCTGGAACCTTCCTCAGCCTGTCTCTGGAACTTTCCTCAGCCTGTCTCTAGAACTTCCTCAGCCTGTCTCTGGAACCTTCCTCAGTCTGTCTCTGGAACCTTCCTCATCCTGTCTCTAGAACCTTCCTCAGCCTGTCTCTGGAACCTTCCTCATCCTGTCTCTAGAACCTTCCTCAGCCTGTCTCTGGAACCTTCCTCATCCTGTCCCTAGAACCTTCCTCAGCCTGTCTCTGGAACCTTCCTCATCCTGTCTCTAGAACCTTCCTCAGCCTGTCTCTGGAACCAGTCCCACGCCCGAGAGCCACGTACGAGAGCCACGTACGAGAGCCACGTACGAGAGCCACGTACGAGAGCCACGCCCAAGAGCCACGTACGAGAGCCACGTACGAGAGCCACGTACGAGAGATGTAACGGAGGGAGGGAGAAATAGCTCCCTTTAGCCCATTAGTCTGCCCCCCCCCACCCCCCACCCCCCAGTTAACTAACGAGGCCGGGGGAAACAGCTCTTTTAGTCCGTTATCCTGCCCCCAGTTAGTCAACTACTCTAGAGCACCCTCAGTGTTCCTACGGCGGCAGCCTCTCTAGTTCAACACCTGGTGACCTAGGTACTGGTCACCTAGTATACCAAGAACACAAGGCATTGTGACCTGATCAGGTACCCGTGATTCTAGAGAACTCTAGAGCAATTCACTGCCACGAACGAATCAGAGAAACGAAAGGAAAGAGATGAATAATTAATTAGTGAGAGTTTGGAGTGAGGGAGGAGTGTGGTCATGTGAAGGGGAGAGTGGGAGAGAGGGTACGGAGATGAATAGGAAGTAGTGGTAGAGGTAGACTGGTAGATAGGTAGAAGTAGAAAAGTAGATAGTAGAAGGTAAACTGCCACCATCCATTCAAGACCATTACATACCAGACAAGGAATGGAACTTGTCGGTATCACAAAATTCTCAAAAGCTGTGTAAACAGGCCATTATTAGCATGAGTTAACTGGAATCATGTTCCAGACAAGATTATGTTAGTACTCTGCCCTCTAGTTCGCATATATCAAAAATTCCACGAATTCGGAAACACAATTAAAGTCAACTAAAAGTAAGTGAATCAATTATTTATTTAACATGATAAATATCAGAATTTAAGCAATCGAACTGAAGATTCGTTAATACTGTACCAAGTGAGTCATTACACCAGAATTCGAGACTATTAGAGCCGTCTGCCCCCTGATAGTCACACAACACTAGTAAACAGTACTACGTCACCTTTCATATTCAACTCACCAAGTGTCTGCCTATAGCTGGATACAGAGGGGGTGGGGGGACGGTAGTTGACAGAGACTGTCCCACCCAATCCGACTGACAGCCTCTCGGTTCAGCTCAGCTGGCTGTTCTCCAGTCTGCTGTCTCTCTCTTCCTCTCTCTCTCTCTCTCTCTCTAGTGTACAGTACCATGGGTATATATTGGGGACCAACTAGCTATCTCCGCCCGCAAGTAGATAGCCCCAGGCACTCTACCAAGCCACACCTTAAATTGGGGGCATGTTTGAAGGTCACCCTCGGCCACCCGCCTGCAATTATGAGCTTAGCGGAGACCAGGCGACCTGACCTTGGTCACTTGGTGGTCGTTAACGCTCAGAGGTGAGAGGTTCTTAATTACTAGTGGCCACCTACCTGACGCCTCTCGAAGTCTTGTCTGTGGTTTTTATTCTATATATATATATTAAATATAAAACACCTTTACGGTGTTACAGAGACACGCAACAGAGCCACGTACGAGAGCCACGCAATAGAGCCACGTACGAGAGTCACGTACGAGAGCCACACAGCAGAGCCACGCACCAGAGCCACGTACGAGAGCCACGTACGAGAGCCAAGCACCAGAGCCACGTACGAGAACCACGTACGAGAGCCACGCAACAGAGTCACGTACGAGAGCCACGTACGAGAACCACGCACCAGAGCCACGTACGGGAGCCACGCACCAGAGCCACGTACGAGAGCCACACAACAGAGCCACGTACGAGAGTCACGCAATAGAGCCACATACGAGTGCCACGAACCATAGACACGCACCAGAGCCACGTACGAAAGCCACGCAACAGAGCTACGTACGAGAGCCACGCAACAGAGCCACGTACGAGAGCCACGCAACAGAGCCACGTACGGGAGCCACGTTCAAGAGACACGCACCAGAGCCACGTACAAGAGCCACGTACGAGAGCCACGTACCAGAGCCACGCAACAGAGCCACGTACGGGAGCCACGTTCAAGAGACACGCACCAGAGCCACGTACAAGAGCCACGTACGAGAGCCACGTACGAGAGCCACGTACGGGCCACGCACCAGAGCCACGTACGAGACCCACGCACCAGAGCCACGCATCAGAGCCACGAACGAGAGCCACGCACCAGAGCCACGAACGAGAGCCACGCACCAGAGCCACGAACGAGAGCCACGCACCAGAGCCACGAACGAGAGCCACGCACCAGAGCCACGAACGAGAGCCACGCACCAGAGCCACGAACGAGAGCCACGCACTAGAGCCACGAACGAGAGCCACGCACCAGAGCCACGAACGAGAGCCACGCACCAGAGCCACGAACGAGAGCCACGCACTAGAGCCACGAACGAGAGCCACGCACCAGAGCCACGAACGAGAGCCACGCACCAGAGCCACGAACGAGAGCCACGCACTAGAGCCACGAACGAGAGCCACGCACCAGAGCCACGAACGAGAGCCACGCACCAGAGCCACGAACGAGAGCCACGCACCAGAGCCACGAACGAGAGCCACGCACCAGAGCCACGAACGAGAGCCACGCACCAGAGCCACGAACGAGAGCCACGCACCAGAGCCACGTACAAGAGCTACTGTGATACTGACACGCATCACCTGCACGTCCCGGGTGCTTGAAACTCTGGACTCTCTCTCTCTCTCTCTGTCTCTGTCTCTCTCTCTCTCTCTCTCTGTCTCTGTCTCTGTCTCTCTCTCTCTCTCTCTCTCTCTCTCTCTCTCTCTCTCTCTCTCTCTCTCTCTCTCTCTCTCTCTCTCTCTCTCTCTCTCTCTCTCTCTCTCTCTCTCTCTCTCTCTCTCTCTCTCTCTCTCTCTCTCTCTCTCTCTCTCTCTCTCTCTCTCTCTCTCTCTCTCTCTCTCTCTCTCTCTGTCTCTCTCTGTCTCTCTCTGTCTCTCTCTCTCTCTCTCTCTCTCTCTCTCTCTCTGTCTCTCTCTCTCTGTCTCTCTCTCTCTGTCTCTCTCTCTCTCTCTTCTCTCTCTCTCTCTCTCTCTCTCTCTCTCTCTCTCTGTCTCTCTCTCTCTCTCTCTCTTCTCTCTCTCTCTCTCTCTCTCTCTCTCTCTCTCTCTCTCTCTCTCTCTCTCTCTCTCTCTCTCTCTCTCTCTCTCTCTCTGTCTCTCTCTGTCTCTCTCTGTCTCTCTCTCTCTCTCTCTCTCTCTCTCTCTCCTCTCTCTCTCTCTCTCTCTCTCTCTCTCTCTCTCCCTCACTCTCCCACCCCCCCACCACCTGCTGCTCCCTTCCCGCGCCTCTTGCAACCGTCTTAAAAAATACATATTTACGTTTTCTTATTAATCTTTCTCCTCTTCCTCTGTACTGCCACGTCTTCTTCTCGTTATTTACCTCCCACTCTTCCTTGCTATTATCTTTTCCCATCTTTGGTTGTATTGATATTTTTTCTCGTCATCCGAGACGACCTGGAATGGTCCTGTTGCTTCC